TCAGCCCCCACCCCAAAAATATGCCATTTTGCCTGAAGCACGGGCCCGAGGCCAAGCTCATTTTTATGCGGTCGCCATGACGGAATTTTAGGGGCCATGGTTTTGCAGCCACAACGCATTACGGGAATCTAGAATCGAGAAAGAGAGAGCCAGAGCTTTACTAAAATGCGCCCCCACGCTTTAGGGGGGAATCGGGGAAATGGGCCCGATGACTGCATCTTGCTTTTTTGGGCCGACATTGTGCAGTGATTAGGTTGCTTTTTTTTAGAGGATTAAGGCTGGTAGATAAGACAAAAAAGGGAAGAGTCATGGGCTGCCATTGTTTGGACATCTAAAAAGGCGGGGCGGGTCAGACGTATGTTTTTGGTTAATGATCTGTTGCCGTGGAACTGGAGCAGTGGAAACGAGGCTGAATATAAACGGAAACGGAAGCCGGAAATGGGGAATAGAGCCTGGCACAAAATGGAGTAAATCTTGGAAAATTGGCTGACAAAAAAATAGAAAAAACCACGCAGGTTTGTAGTTGCTAAATTCTTGCTTTGTAAAACGTCGAATTCAATATTTTTTAACGTTTTTCGAGAAATGTTAAAATTTGCATAAGTATAAGAGCGATAATGGTCAAAATCCCTATTTAAAAAGGAATAAGTGCAAGCAGAAAATCTGTGACCTGGCAGCCAAAAATTGGCGCTTCGAAGGGCTACAAGCTTCGCTTCTTTTGCTGAATAAAACTACAAAACCCCGGCATCTCGTTTCTCGAGGCAGATTAAAGCTCAGAAAATTACTCAATAACCTAAGTATAAAAGTAAATAAATAAAAATCCTGCAATATAGCAGCCCAAAAATGGACACTACTATTTATGCCCACCCACCCGTGCCAAATTCGAAAAAAACCTCAGGCAGTCTAGCAGCCGTCGCACCTCATTTTTGATCATTTTGTTACCTAGGCAATGCTAAAGTCTAGTCTTAAAGGCCATGAAAACGCTCAAGAATCGAAGCGCAACAACAGTGTCAACAACTGTTTGCCCTCTCTAAAGGGATCGGAAAACGCACGACTAAAGTCTTCTCATATTCAACTAAGCGTAAAAAATTACAAACCAAACCTTCTCCGTCCGTTTAAAGGGATATAGAAGGCTGATTTCAATATACTAAAAACCTCAAAAATCTTGAACTCATGCTAAATCGTCAGTACACAATCAATTGCCTACTGGCCCCAAAATGCCTGTCCAAAATTTATGACCGCAGGGCAAAATTTACGGGCACATGTCTCCCCCCGGACCCCCACAACTTTTTGTGGATATTTTTGAGGTTGCTCGGACTCTGGGGCTTCATCCCCCCTCACGTTAACTCACAAGATCTGAATGAGCAATTTGCCACCCTGGGGCGGCTCTTTTTGCGGAACGACGTTCCGAATTGCACGCTTCGGGGCTTCGCGATGGCACTTCCTGATTAATTCATAACCTAGTAGGATTATAAAATATGCAAAATTTGGGTTTTTTTGGGTGGGAATTGGGGTATGGTGTAGTTTACGGATTCCTATCTCATCGTAGTCGACGAACGTTGTCATGGGCTTGCGGGGGGATCGGATTTCGGGTCTGGTTACAAGGCTTTACGCAACAATGTTGGGTAATTTTGGTGGCTTTTTAAAGGTTAGGCCCATGCAAATAAATAGAAAAAATAAACGTTTAGAAGATCTAAAATCAAGGCAAGCTGAACGTCATCATGGAGGATGAATTTTTGAGATTTATGAGGATTTGGTTTGGAGAAGCGAATAAAAAGTGAAAAGGCCGTTATCGGAGGGTGAGAGCGCGAGAGATCGTGAGGGAGCTAAGGCTGAAGCGTAATAGCGAAAGAGAACAAATGAGGGTGAGAAAGAGAGCCGGATAAAGGAGCCAAAGAGAGAGAGAGAGAGAGAGAGAGAGAGAGAGAGAGACTGACCAGAAAGAGTGCGAGAGAGCCATGTATCTTCCTAAAGTTCTATTCTTATTCTTACATGCCGGTATTCAAAAGCACCCCAAAAACCTAAATTCTTGCAATGACAACGTGAAAACTCCGCCAGTGCACCTAACTAAACTTTTGGCTTCCCGGAAGCTGAACCCAGCGTACCCATCCAAGCAGAAACAACCCGAAAAAGCCCGGGAAAAGTGAAGATTTCCGGGTGGTGTTCCTATGCCATGAGATTCCGTGGGAGGCATACGCTATTCACCCACCCCCCACCTCACCCAGACCCGAGCATCATCTCGTAGGGCCCCGCTGAGCAGGAGGAGAAGGAGGAGGTGGAACGTGGAATTTCCGACGATTTATCGCCCGTCCAGCCAAGAATTGGGCCCTTTGAAATGGGCTCTCGGCCGAAGATTTCGACTGATGGGATACCAGGAATAACCTCAGGAGGGCGGAAATTGAGGGCGATTGTGATGCGTACGGTTTTGGTCCCCTAATTTATGGGTTTGGCCCCGGCAGGGGAGGAGGTTATGCTGTAACAACCCCGTTTTGAGCCTTTGCCC